AAAATTAATATTTTTTTATATATTTAATCATAATATTTAATTTATTTTATTCTTGAAATGAAAAAAAATTTATTATTACTGTAAGTAACAATATGTGAAATATGCGCGAAAAACTTATAAGTCAAATCATAAAAAAAATATATTATATATTATTTTTATTAATTTCTATTTTATATAAATCTAAATGTTATTTAAAATTAATTTTTATTTTTAATACAAATAAATATTTTAGGAAATATATTTAATAATAATAAAAAATACTAGAAAAGATATTATATATATGAAAAAAAATATTTAAAAAAATATTCTTATATTTTTACAGAAACAAAATTTTATTTATAATAAAAATATTATTTAATAAAATTTAAATTTAAATCTGAATTATTTTATTTATTGATTAGTATATAGTAGGATTTTTTGGCCAATTTAGATTTTTTTTGATTGGTATATTTTAAAGTAGCAGCCTCTTAATTTAATTTAGAATTTTTTTTAAAAAAAATATATGTAATTTTAAAATAAAAACTTATTAAAATAATCAACATTTTCAAAAAATAAAATAATTAAATTTTAATAATAAAAAAAACATATATATTTATTTATATGATAAATATTAAAATGCTTTTCGCTATTTTTAATATTAAAACTTATACTTATTTTTATTTATATATGTATATAAATTATATATTCAATTTTATTTATTTTTAATTAATAGATATATGTTTATAAAAATATATATTATATATTTTATAAATGCTTTTATTTTTTATTATAAAAACTCAATTTAAAAAATGAAGTATATTTCCTATTTATTTTCGCCCCTTTTATTTATTAATTGAGTTTTTTTAATAACATATTACAAAAAAAAAAATTAAAAAAACTATAAAAATATTATATATATTATACTATTTTTATTTTTTTAAACAAAAAAATATATGAAAAATTTTAATATAAAAAATAAATAAAGTTTATATTAATAATTATTTTAAAATTAGAAATTATAAATAAAACATTTTGTAATCAAAATAAGAATTTAAAAATTTCTAAAATGTAGTGATTGATGAAGATTCCAATTAAGAAAATTTAAATATTCAAGATAAAATAATAGAAAAAAAATAATAAATGAATTCTATATAAATAATATATATAATCAGAAGATGAAGATAAAAATTACAATGTTTAAGTAAAATATAAATAAAGAACAAAATATTAATAAATTAAAGGAATAAACACTGACATTTGTAGAAATAAATAAAGAAAAAGAGTTTTATAATATTAAATAGAATACAAAATCGAATAAATATAAAATATTACATCTGAAATAAATTATAAACTTTGATAACTAAGAGCCAATATATAATATTTTTTTTATTAGTTATAAATTATATCTACATATAGAATTATTCCTATTTAAAAAAAAAATATATAAATAGTTTATATTTATTGAATAAATTACTAAAAAGGATTTATTACTATATAAAACATTACAAATGTATATTAAAAATATATTTTTAAAAATAATGAAAAAATAAGATATAATAACATGAAAAAAAATATTAAAATAAAATAATATTTATTGATATATATATATATTTAATTATTAATTTATATTAAGTAAACCTTTAACTTTAATTAAGAATAATTAGTATTTTTAGCAAGATATATAATAGAAGATAATGCATAAGACTTTATTATATATAATTCAATTAGTAATGTAAAAAACTTACTTGCAAAAAGCAGGCTTTAATTTATAATTGGAAAATTTAAAATATTTACTAATTAAATAAATAATAACTCGAAGAATAACTTTTTGAAGTAATTATTTCATAATAATAAATTTTTAAAATAAAAAAAACGTAATTTAGATTTTTAACAAAAATTGAGATGTCCTTTTATATTGACTATAATTAATTGGAGAAGTTAGAAAATATTAAAAATGTACAAAAAAATAATTAATAAAATGTATGTAAATTGTAAATATTTAATTATCTAAAACTTAAAGAAACTATTTCTTTTAATAATTATATAATGAATATAGTGTGTTTGCTTTATTTTTAAAATCCTAATTATTTTTAGATAACTACAGAAACAGTTTATCATATTTTTATTTAATTAATTTTTTTTTATAAATAAATAAATAAAATGAATAAGAAAATAGTCATAGCATACTAAATATAATATAATAGCTATTTCAGTAAGTAGTTTTTTCTAAAGAAGTTTAAGGAATTATATTTCCATATCCTATTTTATATTTAAATTATATCAATGATTTGAAAAATAATTTATAGATAATGTTTATTAATAACACTTATTTTATTTCTTCTATACTTTTTATTTTATAAAAGCGCAGTCCAGGAAATATAAAACATATTTATTTTAAGATAAATTTATAATTTCTTATAAAAGTAATTAATGAATTTATTATTTCAATTCAAATTATCAAAGAAACAATATAAATATTATTAATTAAATCAGTTTATTAAATTTTTAAAAAATTTTATATTCCTCAGTAATTAATTTATCCCCTTTAATAAAACTAAAAAATTATAAATCAAATTAATTACTAACTTCCAAATATAATATAAAAATATATATATTAGTTATAAATAAGACTTAAATAAAATATTAGTTTAAACAAAATATTGATATATATTTTTTATTATAAAATACTATTTAAATATGTTGAATTATCTTAAATTATATCATTTTTAAATTTTAAGATTATTTATACAATTGAAAGAGGATATCTTTTCCATATACTGTATTAGCATGTATTTTTTTTTTTTTTTTTTAAATAATCCTACTCATTTTATTACAAACTAAACCTTACTTTTTCAGTGCCATAAAAGAGTCTTTTTATTAAAATTATTAATTTCTTATTCTTATTCAAATTCATTATTAATGTTTTTGCTAAAAAAATTCTATCGCCTTTATCATTTTTTTTTTTTTGTAATATATTTATTTTTATTTTAATTCTTTATTTTTATGTATAAAAATTAAAAATTTAAGTGTTTATGAAAAAAAATATAAAAATTAAAAAATATTTCGAAAATACTTTTAAATATTTATTAAAAAGCTTAATTAATAATTCTTTAAATAAATATATTAAAATTTATTTTCATTATGAAATGCGAGAATAGAATTTCTATACAATAACTTATTTATAATTGAAAAAAAAAAATATTTATTTTAATATTTATAATATTTTAAAATTTAAAACCTTTCTTTACTTTAAATATAGAAGCAAATTAATTATAATTTTACAACAAATAAAAAAAAAATAAGTTTTTATTTATAAAATTTATTTTATTTTTTAATAAACTATAAAAATAATAAATTTTTAAATTAATAAAATTTATAAATAAAAAAAAAATTAAAAATATAGAAATTAAAAATAAAAAATATTATAATATTAGATATAATAATAATAATTATATTAAAAACAAAGATTAAATATTAAATAAATATATGCAAACAAAATAAAAATATATAAATAAAAGATAAATTTTTAAAAAAATATAAATAAAAAAAATTATGTAAAAGGAATAAAAATATTAATTAAAAAAAAAAAAAAAAAAAAAATATTAATAATAAATATAATAATTATTATAATAATAATAATAATAATAATAATAATAATAATAATAATAATAATAATAATTATAATAAATATAATAATAATATATATATAATAAAATTTATATATAAATATATATATATATATTTATATATTATATATAATAAATACATATATATATATATTTATTATTAATTTTTATATTATTTTCATTTTATTTATATTTTTTTTTATTTTATTTTAATCTATATTTATAAATTTTTATTTGTTTTTAATCCTTATTTTTTTTTTTAATATTATATTTATATATTTTTTAATAATTTATATTTAATATCTTTCTTTATCTTTTTTTTTAAAAAAATTTAATTATAAATTTATTCAATAAAAGTTATAATTATTATTTGATTACATATATTTCCACATTTGACCATTATTCAATTTTTTCTTTTATCATACATTCTTATCAATTTTTCTCTTTATTTAATATTATTTATTTTTCAGTTTTTATATTCTATATTATCTATGACTTTCATTTATATTTTAAATTTTTACGATAAAATTTATAACATATTATACTTTACACTTTCCTTATTTAAAAATCCTATATCTCAATCTTTGATTGAGATTATTTTTTCCGAATATACTTTTAATAAATTTGAAATTTAAAATATAGTAATTTAATTTTTATTTATTGGATTAATTTAAAAATCTTCTCCATTTAAATATTTGATTATAAATCTGTATTAATTAGCTACCCTATTTTCATTAAGATTATAATTTATATTTACCGAGTTTATTACATTTTGTTTAATTATATAATTCTTTTCTAAATTTTATAGTTTGACAAAGTAAAAATACACATTATTTTCCTATTTTTGATATATAATACAACTTTTCTACTTCAATAATATTAACAATAAGTTAATTAAATATATTTGTGTATAAAATTTATCAAATGTGATTTCTGTCTATTTTTGAAAGTAAACATTAAGTTTTTGTAATTTAAAATATAGATTATTAATTTGTTATTATATATAAGTTCTTTTATATTATTAGTTTATTTTTCATAAATTTATATTTAGTATAAATTTAAATTTTTTTATTTAATTAATAAATTCTATTTTTATTTTATAAAATAAAAAAAAAAATATTATTACTTAATTTTTGATAATAATAAATATAAGATATATAAAAGATATATATAATTATTTATATTAATTTTATGAATATTTTAATTAAAAATATTAAAATAAAATTTTAATCAATTTATTACATATCATTACAATATTATTTAATTTTTTTTTAAAAATTTAATAAACATTGAAAATTTTTTTATTTATTTTTTTATATAAAATTTATTAATTAAATTTTATATATATTTTTTTTTTTAAAAAAATAAAAACAATCATTCATCACTTTCATTTACAACTTTTTTAAAAGTCTCTAAACATCTATTTCTTGCAAATGTATGTTCAACAATTGGTTTTGGATAGCTTTTAGTATTTAAATCTTTTACCCAAGTTTTAATAAATGTATAATTAGGATCAAATTTCTTCTATTAACTATCAGGATTAAATATTCTAAAATAAGGTTAAGAATCAGTTCCAGTTCCTGCTGACCATTACCATCCTCCACTATTAGACGCTAAATCATAATCAAGTAATTTTTTAGCAAAATATCTTTCCCCCCATCTCCAATCTATTAATAAATGTTTAGTTAAAAAACTTGCTGTTATCATTCTTAATCTATTATGCATATATCCACTACAATTTAATTATCTCATTCCAGCATCAACAATATGATACCCTATATATATGTATAAAATATAATTATTTATAATGTTAAACCTGTTTTTCCTTCACACCAAGCTTTAAATTCTTCCGGATTATTTCTCCATTCTAATTTATCGTATTTTTATTTAAAATTATATTTTTCAACTCTTGGAAATTAATCAAGTATCATCATATAAAAATCTCTCCATATTAACTCATTTATATATACCTAATTTAATGATTTGCTTCTCCTAACTAAATCTCTAATGGAAACAGTTCCGAATCTTAAATGAACACCCATTCTTGAGGTTCCATTTAAAGAAGGAATATCTCTAGTTTTGTCATAAGTTTTAACTATTTTTTCATTGAATTATATTGAAGGAAAATCCTAAAAAAATTTAAATATATAAATATATATTAAAATATATGTAAATATATATAAATATATTAATATATATAATAATAAATATATATATATTTATTTATATAATATATAATATATTTTTTTATTTACTTTCCCACTTTTTTCGAACCCCATTTATTCTAAAGTTATTATTTCCAATTCTTTGTTTTTCCAATAATTATCCATTAATAATTCTGAAGGTTTATTTTATATTGCTTAATTGTCTAATAAACTTAACCATTTTTTGCTATATGGTGTAAATACTTTATAAGGGTCTCCATCTTCTTTTTTCGTTTAATTATGTTCGAATATTACTTGATCTTGAAAATCCTTAAATTCAATATTATTTTATTCTAAAAATTATTTAATTTTTTATCCCTTTGCTTTGCATATGTCTCATAATCTCTATTTGTATAGATTTTCTTAATATCATATTCTTAAATTAATTGCTAAAATGCATTATCTACATTATCATATTTAACGACCATTGTAGATCCTACCTTTTTTAATTCATCTTACATTTTTGTTATATATAAATGTATAAACTCGACTCGGGCATCTTTCTTATCTTCTAATTGATTAAGAATGTCTTTATCAAAAATAAAAAATGGAATTACAGGATTACCTTCTTTTAATAAATTAAATAGACCATTATTATCGTTTAAACGTAAATCTCTTCTAAACCAAAATACATTGAAAAGAGTTCTTAATTATTTATTATTATTTTTTTAATACTATTTTATTTTTTATTTTTTTAAGATTTTATATGTTATTTGTTTTTTTAAGATTTTTATTGGTTTTTTTTTACTTTTTTATTTATTATTTGTATCTTTAATTGGTTTTTTTAAGTGGAATTTTATTGTTTTAA